GTCCCAATAAATCCATTAAAATTCCAGTCTCCTGTTCAGTTCTGTCTGCTTATAATTTTAAATCAAATACCTTCGATCGCAGAGGTGGGAGCTGCATCTGGCTTCGCTCCACAAGCAAGGAGCGAAGGCGTCTCGGGGCGCGGAGATTGTCCAGACTCCGGGCGAGCTAGCATCTTTCACCCCGGATTAAGACAAAACCGGGGCGAAAGGAAGCTCTAGCCCTATCCGGACACACTCACCTCCCCCTCTTTGCCCGAGGGACGAGGTTCCTAGCCGAGAGACAGCTGGCAGACGCTGTCTCTTCAAGCTTTGACACGTTCCCGGACGGGCGGCTAAAAAAGCCGCCATGCGATGCCAGCTGTCACCACCGGAAGTCGTGTTACTCTTAATTATTAATGAAACTTTCATGATTTTTGTAAGACTACAAAAAGAATATAAATTGCATAAAACAGCTAGTTATCAACATGTTCAGTAAAGCTTTTATGTTCTCTGTTTGATCTGGATGCCATAGCAGCCTTTCATTTTCAGTAGATTTCAATAGTTTTTTACAGAAGCTAAACCAGCCATCTTATATCATCACCAGTTTAAACATTTCATAAAAATAGCTTTGAATAATATAAAGAAATCTGGAATAGTTCCATTTCCTTGTAAATGTACATTCTCGTTTGAATTGTTTAAATTGTATTCACATGTTTTCTATTTTTAAAATATTTCATGTATATCTTTGTAACATAAAAAAAGTATTTTAAAAAATGATTTGTGCTACAAAATCCAAATTACTACTAGAAGTTTAAAGCTTAAAATGTTCACCATGTCTTTGCTGCCATCTAGATATTATCCTGATGTTTCCAGCTCAGATTTGTAACCCTGAGACAGAAACCAATTAATGTAGGTTTGGAGTTTGGACCAGTCACTCTCTCTCAACTCAATCCATGTCACACATTGTAGAGATAAAAGGAAGGGAGTTCCCCATCTACTTAATTCATTTATTTTAGTGCATTTTTGGTTCCTGAAGAATAGGCAAAATATATATCTAACCAAAAATGCACTAAAATAAATGAATTAAATACACAAGAAGATTTCTTCAAAAATCTTGTTCACAAATTCAGGTTAAATAGAGAATACATTTTCTTATAGAATTAAAGCTAGTTTTCAATAGGATTTTTTATTATGTAATATCAGAAAATATTATGGTAACAATTCTGCTACATTTGCTTAAGGAGAATGACAGAGTCAAAGTTATAAAAGAGAAAAATTAAAACTATTTCTTTTCTTTCTTTTTCTTTAAAGAGAGGTGTGCTTCAGCGTATAATATACCAGCCTGGAGAAAAAGAAGCCCGCATTCTAAAATATATACTAAACCTGAAAAAATGCATTCAGGTATTTATAAGGTGATAGTAATATACTGCAAGTGTTAAAAATAAAGCAATCAAGAATATGGAGAGAGATTTTTAAGAGATCAAAATATTTTTTTTCCTATTGCTAATGGAAAAGGGGTAAATTCATGAAATACAATGCTATCTAAAGTCTAGCTACAGATCAGCCTTGTCTGCAGTCCTTCTTTATATAAATTAATAATTAAAACTTAACTAAGGAAGAGTTACTGTACTTACTTTACAAGTAAATGTGGATAATGCAAGTAATAGATGAAGTAAGTCCATTAAGATATGGCAGCTTCAAATAATTGCTTTCTTCATGTTCGTGAAGGCCCATTTTTTAATATAAGATGTACTAACAGCTAGGAATCCAGATTATATTATTAATGTCATGATCTATGGTTTGTTGTAGAACACCTTGACTCTATAACTTTCAGATTTTATGTTATTGCATTTTTAAACTTTCATATGTTTTCATTTCAGAGCCCAGAAGAAATGGAAGTAGATAAAATGGAGGTTAATTTTAAAGAGAAGAAAGAGGGAATAAAGAAATATTATATTGCTCTTCTATGGTTTGCCATAAAAAGAGGACAAAATATTCAAATTCAAATGATTTGGTTATCATGAAATCCAACTGGAGATCTAAGTTGACAAAAACATTCTAAAATTCAGGAAGTATATGTGCCAAATCATTTACATTAAAATATGTAAGCAAGCCATCTATTTCTGAATCAATTATTTTACTATTAACCTGGACTGAAAGTTTTACTGTTTGGGAGTAAGTATAGGCATGCTTCATAAGTGCTTTCAATCCCATGTGAGAGCAAGCACACCTCTATTTTTCAATAAAGCCATTTATCTTCCAGGCTTTTGTCAAAGTCTGAACAAAGTTGAGCTAATTTGTTGAATAGCAGAGAGTACTGGGCTCTTTCTTAATCACTTTTGAAAGGGTGCCCTGCTTAAGGTTGCCAGAAAGGTGGGATGTGTTCTCTCACAGGAAAAGATGTTTAGGAAATTTTGCCTTTTTAAATAGAGATTAGCATGATTTTAATGACAATGGTACTAATGAGAGGAATACCATAATGGAGCTACTGAAAACACCGTGATGCAAAGATGACATGATCAGAATTAAATATGCAGATTTATATATGCCGATTACTCTCTGGAAGAACACATCTTCCTTTAACAGCCCTGTATGCTTAATTATAGTATACATTACTTCCCCATCCAGGGATTAATCAAATCTGGATTTAGCAAGAAGATTGCTTCATATATTTTTTTAAAGTACAGGAGCCATAAACTTAATTACATTATAGAGAATTCAGATTCTACATCAAACATACATTTTTCAAGTGAAGCATCACATATAGAGCGTGTTGTAAGATGGGTACAACAAGATGTGGCTTACAGTCACCAAATCTCATGGACCCAGAAAGGGATACAGCTGGAATACTAACCTTAAAAGTGCAAAAGCATTCCTTGCTGCAGTAATCATCTTTGAACCAAGTTGTAGCTGATAATTAAGGAAATTACCCAGGTAGACCAAGGGGAAAATTAAATCAAATCCTTCTAAATAGCCCCAGAAAGTTACTACAATTTATTTTATCAAACATTGGTGAAAACTAGAGAGACAAGGGTTGAGCATGCAGTTAATAACATTCGTCTGCACACATTCTATCCATATAGAGGAAAACTGCATACGAGAAAAGATAGAATACTATCTTTGTGTCCAAATAAAGCAACACTTTCAACTGATGCAATACCAGTAACAGAGATACAAATTTTGAGAAACACTGAAATAACATGGCAGAAGGAGTGGGGAGAGATGATGTCATCTCTTTAACCAGATCTCTCTTAAGCACACTGACACTGTTTTATTCAGGACTATATCTCTGCCATCTTCTATCATATTTCCTGCAGCTGATTTACCACTCTTATTGCCACAAGGTAAATCTTAATAGAATCCCGTACACATGTTTGATCAGATATGTCCTTTGCGTTCCTCCAGAAACATCCCTTCACTCTGACGTCCTCAGGTTGGAAACTGAAAGGAAATCTAGCCTACCTTCCTTTCTCCATAGTAACCAAATTGCAGGTTCCAATCACCTCTCTTACAGCTGATTATCAATGCTTTGCCCATGCCATTTTATGATTTCTCTGCACTTTCCCCTACCTACAGGATCCAATATAGGCATTACTTATCTAGATAACATTTCTCTGAAGGAGAAATTATATAATGCTTTGTCTTTTAAAATCAATTATGAATGAAGCAATTTGGGCCATTTTGGAAATATAAGCCTTCTAAAAACCTGGGGCATCCTCTGGAAAATGCCAACAAAGTGAAAAAATGCATAATATATTTAAATGAATGATTTTTTTAAAACTTTAACAAATCATTAACCATTAGAGAGCAATAGTACCACGTATAAAAATACTAGTAGCCTGAGCAATAGTAAAAGAATAGTAAGTCAGATTGCCATCTATAGTGAAGCTTGTGTGCAGACATTAGTTTGATTTCTTGTATGGGCTAAACTGAAACTTGCAGAACATATATCCACAAAAATTGAACTCATCTTGTTCTCACTCTTCCTTTGCACTTACTTGTAATGTAATATTTTGGAGCAGCTAATCTATTACTTTTTTCTATGTTTATTTTTATATTCTTTGAACATTGTCATAAAAATATCACATTTTACACATTTCCATATAATTTTATTATTACAGCCAAAGGCCACACATAAATCAAACATCCAAATAAAACAAAACTAGACAGAGCCATCACAAGAGGACATAGCAATACAACACAATCAATGATGCAATCAATGGGTGACCAAGGTCTGCCTAGTTTTACAGGCAGTATATCAAAAACAAGCTATCTTCAGAAAACTTAATCATACTGACCTGACACTAAAAATACAATGAGTATAGTCTAAAACTGGATAAAGCATGTAATAAAATAAATTTTAAAAGATTATTAAAAAGATCTAAAATGATTATTTATGTTTCTGGCGAATCCCCAATGCTGCTGCACAGAATCTGGCCACCTGTGCCCTGATCTCTGCCTGCTCATCCTTAAATAGCCACTGGAGATAGATACTTTCCGAACAACCAGGATATCTATCAATTATGGGGAGGATATGGTTTTTCCGATGGGCTCTGTAGAAGGAACATCGAAGGAGTATGTATCCAATGGTTTCCACCTCTCCTGAGCCACAGGAGCATCTCCATAGCTACCTTAGAATTTATAAGAAGTGTATGAGACTAATTACAATTATCTAGGTAACCTGACAGTTCATCTTTGACATAGAACATTCATAATGATCAATGATACAATATCACTGAGCATATAATAATCAGTTGTATTCAGCTGCAGCAGCTTTTATGCCCAGAATATGCTTTGTCTGATAAGAAAAAAATAACTAAAAAAATAATTCATTGTCTAATTTGTAAGAAATTATATTCCAGCATCATCACTCAGCAGATTTGACTTTTTCTTTTTTACTTTGCCTGCCAAAGAAATGTGCTGTTCTTTGCTAATGTTTATGCTTATATATACTGTGAGGGTGCTGCTGGCTTCTGAAAACAAACAAATCAACCAACGTTGCTAATGCTTTTTAACTGCATGAATAACATTAACATTCAGCAAAAAAAAAAGTATTCTAGTGAACAAAACTAGCTAAAATCAACACTGAATCTATATTTTAAATGTATCCTGAGTAAAAAAAAATATCAATAGGCCATAAGAGCATGTGTAGAGGACACGCGCACCAAGGCACATAGGAATTGTCTGCCTGATCAGACCAAGACCTATCTTAGTCCACCATTTTGTTTCTCACAGTCGCCAACCAAATGTCTCTAGGTTGCTCAAAAATAGGAGATGGAAGTAAAACTGACTCACCTGGAATGATAGCTTTTGGGAATAAATAAATAAATCAGATTTGTTTTACTTTCTAGAGGAAGTCAAAGAATAAAATAGTTTTGGAAGGTCCCTTTATAAAAAGTCAAAATTATCACGTTTCAGGCTAAAATTCTTGTGTTATTATGGAAAGGCTACAAAAGAAATTGATCTATAAAATTCTTCCAGCAATAAGATTAGATATTGGAATATGCCACAAGTTCCCTTTGGAACAATAGCACAAAGATACACCTGGGATTTCTTTTAGTTCTTAACTTTGATTTTCATCAGCCCCAGTCAATGTGGTCCACGACAGGTGATATCAAACATGTTTTATGAGAAGTGACTGCAAGTAGCTGTCTATAATATTAGATGGACACCAGATTGCCAACTTCTGATATACATAATTTTTCACAGCAACTCAAGAAACATTTTTTCTCAGACATACAGTATCTGCAAATTGTAGCCCGATAACCCATTCATGATCAGTTCATACTTGCACTTGTTTCTATAGTTTTAAAAAGGAATTGTTTCCCTCCCTCTCTGAAGAAGCCAGAGATCATTCCTATTTCCCCCCCCCCACAAAGTCTGTGTCCTAGCACTCAATTGCAGTTCTTCCTTTACTACAAGAAGCACAACTGAAGTGCTAGGATCATAAATACCATTCCAGTATTTTGCTTTTTAATTTTAATGTAGCAGGTGAAGAAAAATGTTAAATGTTAAATACTTAAGGTTGCATAAAGGGAGTCAACTTGGTCTAGTGCTTAAGTCACCAAGCTAGAAACCAAGAGAATATGAGTTCTAGTTCCTATTTAGGAATGAAGCTGGCTGGATGATGGGCTAATCACTTTCTCTCATCCCAACCATCTCACAGGGTAGTTGTGGAGAAAATAGAAGGAGGAAATAATATTAGATATGTTTACCCCCTTGTGTTACTTATAAAGTAAGGCAGGATAAATAAATTGCCCCTTAAAACTGCAAACCAATACAATACTTCTAATTAGCAGATTAGAGTAGCCACATCACTTTGCTATGCTGGCTAATAATAGGGTCACTGTGCAGGCAAAGAAACCCTTGACATAAAAGCAATGAGACACAGAGCCCCACATTCATGAAGCTTAGTGATGCAAGTCCACGTGCCATTTTACTGCTTCAAGGCAGACTAATGCAACTTTGCAAGAGAAAATATCTCAAAAAGACAAATCCTGGTGAATTTCTCTGTTAAATATAATTAATAATAATAATGATGATGATGATGATGATGTTGGAAGGGACCTTGGAGGGTTATCTAGTCTAACCCCCTGCTCAGGCAGGAAACCCTATACCATTTCAGACAAATGGCTGTCCAGTCTCTTCTTAAAAACTTCCAGTGTTGGAGCATTCACAGCTTCTGGAGGAAGGTTGTTCCACTGGTTAAATGTTCTAACTGTCAGGAAATTTCTCCTTAGTTCTAGGTTGCTTCTCTCCTTGATTAGTTTCCATCCGTTGCTTCTTGTCCTGCCTTCAGGTGCTTTGGAGAATAGCTTGACTCCTTCTTTGTGGCAGCCCCTGAGATATTGGAACACTGCTATCATGTCCCCCCTCGTCCTTCTCTTCATTAAACTAGACCAGACATGTGAAACTCGTGGGGTCACGTGACGTCATGCAATGTATCGGGACGGTTTTGCCATTGCTGGCAATGGGGTGGGCATGGCTTCCGGATGATGCATCTGACCCATGGGCCGGCAGTTTGACACCGCTGAACTAGA